AGCAATGGGACATGGTCAGAACCAGAAGGAAGGTCCTTCCTTCCTTCCTTCCTTCCTTCCTTCCTTCCTTCCTTCCTTCCTTCCTTCCTTCCTTCCTTCCTTCCGAGAAATGGGCACATCACTGGCAAGCAGTCTGAAGGATTTTGAAATTAAACTGCAGATTGCCCAGCCTTGATCTGAAAGCATAAAAATATTGTGTGTTTTTGTTTTGCTTCCTTGCACAGGACCCCAAGGAATTTGTCATGCTGAAATTTTCAAAGGAAAAAGAGATAAAATTCACCAAACTTGCTTGGTATCAATGCCACATTTCAGGGTTTTTGTTTTTCTGTGGTTCTAGCCATGCTAGCAACATAGAAGAAAGAAGCAAGGCTAGTGCTGTTAGGTGTGAACATGGTGGTCCCCTCCAATTTTAATACCCATGGTGTTGGTGTCTTTCTCCTCTCATGAGTAGGAACCAGAACAAGGAAAGGCTGACTAGATTAGGTCCAGCATAAGAGAAGAGGAGCAGCTGATGGGAATAAATATCACAGCTAATCTCCTCTTGCAATCTCATCTCTCTGGACATTTTTCTACATTCAGTTGCTATTGGACAGATACAGAATGGAGTCCACAAAGTGACAGCCTATCATCATCCTACTCTACAGCTTGGTCACATGGACCTGCCAGACATACAAAAATGGATCATCCTCCTCCCTTCCTTCTCATGAATTCATCAGAAAGAGTTAAAAATGTATTTATGATCCCTGCAACACTTGAGGTTTAGTCTTTCCTTTCTCCCCTGCCTTTGCCCACCCACAAAACAGGAGAAAACTTTTATCCTTTAACCTCTCTTTTAGCTATCCTGATTTTCAGTGCCTTTGGTCTTTATAATAACAGTCTAGTTCTATTCTGAGTTTTCTTCAGGAATCTCCTCCAACATTTTGCAATCACCTCTGCAACCAAAGGTCATCAAGCACTCTCCATCCAGTTGTCTCTTTATATACTTTTACATCTTCATATTTCTTCTGCCTTTTTTTCTGAGGACTTAGAACACCACACATGAAAGGCGATGTCTTCTCTCTGAGATGGCTGCCAAACCATCTAGTGAGCTCCACAACCAAGTAGGGTCTTAAAAACAAATTTCCCCAGTTCTGGTTCAATATTTTAACTCCAAAACTCCATTAGTGGTCACTAGAAACAGCTGTATTTTAATCTACCACTCTGTGCTACATGCAGTGGTCCTGCAACAACTTTCCTGTCCTGCTTTTGAAAAGCTCAGAGCAATCCAAAGTCCATTAATTAGGAGACAGCTGAGAGGTATGAACATTCTGACTTTCACAACACAGTCTTCTCTCCAGCAACCTGCAACCTTCCAGGCTTCCTTGAAATGCTAGAGGAAGACCTCCAGAGAGATTACTTTCCATGGATTTTCTCTGACTAAGAAGAAAGGATTGCCAGCAGGACTACAGAAGGATGGAAAGATGGAGAAAAGTGGAGAACCAGAAAACAAGGCTTCATTTGCCACTCTGTGATAATTAAGGAAGCTCAAGGACATGATTGGAAGAAAATAAATCTAAAGAAATAGTGAAGCACCTGAAGAAAAAGGCAGGAAAACAACAGCTACTTTGGCAGAGAAAGAAAATGTCCAAGAAATTGGAGGGCAAATCTTGGCATAGTATTAATAATTTTGTTCTTACCTGAATTGAGAATGCACAGAGGTTTCTGGTAGCAGCACTAAGTAAAATGAAGAGCATGCAGATAATTTGAAGTTTCATCTTTCTTTCTTGAGTGGGCCTGTGTTCTTAGATTTTCTTTTGTAATAAAAGCTGTCTTGTTCGTTCTCTGTCTTGGATAAACCAAGTTTGTCTTGTAGGCAAGTGAATACAAGAGCAACTTTTAAAGGCCACAGAATCCCGCCCCTGGTTGGGATCAGCCAATGCTTTGTGTTCCAAGAAAGTCCACACTTGGGAAAGATAATCACTAGCAAACAGGTCAATAGAACTTATCACATTTGATCAGCAACTCACATCCCTCAGACATACGGAAAATGAGCCAAATTTCCCAAATGATGTAACATCCTATCGTCACCTACATCCATATGTGCAAAGAACTGAATAGACCAAGGCTGGTATCAAGAAATGGGGGTATTACACTTCAGTACATTCTTTCCCAGCTTTTAATCTTTAATCCTTTCTGGGATTTTTCCAACCATTGCAGTAGATTTACTGTAATTTTCTCAACTGAGATTCAAAAATAGAAGTGTCAAATCAGCACAAGTCCAAAATAAGGAAATAAAAGATTTGAAAGAAGCTATTCATCCATTACATTTTGCAACATTTCTTCTGCCTGCCAGCAAAGCAAACCACCTGAAGAAACAAAGCTAGTAACATCAGCACAGAAAGAGATGATGTCCCAACTTTCGGAAGAGTGCTGGGAAATGTTTGCAAAAGACTTTTGAAAACTGAGATCCAGACCTATTCTTGAAATGTATGCTTCCATAGATTCTAATTCAACCTGATTTCAGTATTCAGTAGATCAGAACTTTATAGGAGATCTACTGGAGTTGGATTAAGTCAGATGCAATTATTTAAATATGGATTGATTAGGCAGTGAATCAACTGATCTTAAAAGAAGAGCATCACATTTGTTGTTCACATAAGTTGTTGTAGATCACAGACCATTTTATTAGTTGCACGGACTACAGTCCTAAAAAAGGAGTAATAGACATACAACTCGGCTTTTTGGAGTGGGAGGAAAGAAAGACCACTATGAAGGAAGGAATTCTCTAAAAAGACCATTAAAAGAAGTTAAGTACAACACAGAAATGAAGGATTGGTTAACACATGAAGTGTGAAATCTCACTTTCTGTTTAATCCATGAGTAAACCCATGGTGTTAAAGCTTCTAATTAATGCTGCTTCACATTGAAACCTGCTTTTGCAGTACCTTTTCTTGTGGCTACATTGTGGTAAATAGTAGAGTGCCCTGGGGAGTTAAAATGTTCACACTGATTTGGGGATATTGTCATTTTTGGTCTTAAAGTTATGTCCATTTACCATATTCTTCTCTGTAAAGATTGGCCAGTTTGCCCAAATTATGAAAAGTGTCTTACTTAGTGGATAATTAAGGAATTGGATCAGATTTAGAAATACATCAGAAGATACTTAATTAAATCATTGAAAAATAGCTTAGTTGTGATAAAGTTAAATTTCATTATCTTCATAGGTCTAAAATTCTACGCAGCTCCACATTTTCTTGGAAGTTGAATGTTGAATGCAGTGGGTTTTAGTTCTGAGTAACTATATAGAGAGTTGTACTGTATAATTTCTAGCCCATTATTTAATTTATTTTCTGAATTACATTTTTACAATTCGTGCTTTCTTCTCTGGAGATCATGAAAAACTTCAATAAGCTTTCATTTATTTGTTAAGTAACAAAGTTCAGTGGATGAAAAATTACTCATGTAAGCATTCATAACACATTTTGATCAGCCTAGGGAAAGTTAGGGAAAATCTTTAAAAACAACAAATCCTACTGAATAAATATAAAATTGTCAATATAGTAAACTAGAATATATATAGTACCTTTTCCCACAATTATCTATAATACAATTTTTACAATTACTTTCACTATTGTAAGCCCCCTTCTTTTCAGTTGATATATTTGTATGAATAAATCTAGAACTGACACATTTTCCAGAATCCATAGATAGATAGATATAACAATTTGCATAGTAAAGCAGGACACCCAGTTCTTTTTCCATATGGTAACTGTTTTTAAAATTGCAATGCATCTGACCTGTTTAGCAAACACTCCATGCAAAAGGTACATACTTAAGAGCTTACTGAAATTTTAAATACAACTTTTGTGCATGCATGCATAGATAAAAGAAAATAATTAAAGATTGAAATTCAAATAAAGAGGAAAGTAAAGTCAGTTAATACAACATTTAATGTACTTTTATAGATCTCTGAAGCAAAAAAGAGAAAAGTAGGAGCTCTTTTCCAGTTTGAAAGTAATCTGTAATACTGAACAAGCAGTTTGCTTATTATTATTAATATTACAATTATTGCTACTACTGGGCATTTTTTAAAAAAATATTTTATGTGACAAGCTGTTACATTAGTTGGCACACTACTATCTTTAAGAGTTGTTTATATTTTACAGATGTTTACATTTACATCAGTTAGCTTGGATGCAATAACATTAATAATATGTAAGAAATATTTAGAATTTTCAGTTTCCAGAATTTAGAGCTTTTTTTTTTTTAAAAAAAAAAAAAGCAAGCAGATGAACAGTTTCAAAGAGACGTTAAACTAAAGCCCCGTTGGGGAGGGTTTCTTCAAAAAGTTATAGCTGTGGAAGAGATGAGAAATAAACACATTTGGAACATTTAACCAAATAGTGTTCGTGACATTTGGCTTTGTAAAAAAAATCTTGATCCGTTCTTTTCAATGGCTGTATAAAGGAAGCAAGACTTCTATATTAATTATGAAGGCATGATCGTTCATTGGTGGCTGCCCAATTCATATCTGATGGGGAACTGACAATTGTGTAAAGAATCATTTACAAAAGGGCTGGTTAATTAATAGTAATTTTCCTAACCTTGTAAGCACTCAGCGGGGCTGATTTCTGAGAAGATATCCAGAGCACTGAATTGAATATTGCAGGTAAAACCAACAACTTTTAAACTCTGCAAACTGAGTTTAGGTTGGTGATCATCACTTTATTATATGACCTGAAATATGAATTGTGAATACTTCCCTGGAACAGGCTAATTTGCTGTCTTATCAAATTGTTGTATTAGATTGCTGGTTATTTAATATTTGTTCTAAGTTATACTGTGTTTCGAATGGAGCAAACAACCCTGTTCCCCTACAAATATCAGTATGCTACACTATTACAAAATTAATGTCTTTTAAAATTAAAAATAAGTCTCACACATCTTTGAATTCGTTTTGTGTGTGTTTTTGTTGTTTGTATTATATTGTTATAAGTAACAAAAGGGAGAAAAAGATAATATACTGTATCATCATAACGCTACAATTTTTTTTGTTTTTGTTTTAAAAGCAAGAAAATACAGGAAAATAAAACCAAAAAAATAGAGAAAACAGAGTCTATATCATCACTAAGAATCTTTATAGTATGCTTTTACAGTATTTTAAAACTCATTGAATTTCTACCCCACTTAATTCCTTCTTTCTCTAGTGTTCTTAAATAAAATGAAAACTATTAAATATTGGATTCTGTACACTGTTCCAACTCTTTTCTTTTTATTACTAATGACTCCTTCTGTAGTCTTTTTATATGTAGGATATCTGAACATAAACATGATTTTTAAACAATATATTAAGATTTTTAATTTTTTTCACCGTTTCATATCTGCCTGACCCTTGAGCTTTCTCATCAACATGTTTTTCTTTTTTTAAAACATGGAATAAAGTTTAAAAAGGTTGTTGACTTCCCTTTCGCGTTCCAAGGAGTTATCAGAAACTGATCGCTGACAGTACGCACTTTGTTTCTGAAAATTCATTTGGTGTCAGAAAATAGATAAGGCTAGAATGATCTCAGGCAATTGTGTTGCGCAAAGGGAATCAGGCAACTGTCAAAAACAAGATTAAACAATAAACATCTCATTGGGATTTAATGGTACTAATTAAAGGTTTAGTGATAACCCCTTTAATTTGTAATATTAAATAAAATGTAAATTCAAGACCCCAAAGAACCAGATTCTTATTTATAGTTCTGGAAGAAAAAGTTACATATGACTTATAATGTTCACAAGCCTTTCACCCCAAAATCCCCTCATCGTTATCCTTCACCCCCAATACTTTTGATTTTAGAAATAGAGACCTTTTGTTGTTGAAAATGAGGGTCAAAACTTTGTATCAACTACCAAGTAGATCCTACTGTATTTTTTGCCACTACAAAATAATAATAAAAATAAAATAAAATTCTGCATTCTCCTAAACCTTCCATCTACCTCTCCATCTTCATCCAAAAATGAGGTTTTTTTAGTATATGAAATAGGAGCACATTGAATACACAATGATGGTGTGCGTAGGCATTCAGTATGAGCTATGAAGACATTATGTACAGTATGTCATGACATCATTGCCCAAATAATGTGAATTATGTCATCTGCACAATTATGTCATGACATAAGAGATGCTGCTTCCTTCTTCCCTCCAACCCTACAGAGATGCCCAGGATGGTATGGCTGTGTTCAACCAATAAGCTTTGCCATGGATTACTTCAGTATTAAATCAGCCACAATTGGCTGGATTTACAAAGCATATGGATGTTAATGTGTTATAGGGATTACATTGCTGAACTAAGTCCTGGAATAGTCAGGCTAAAATGTACCATTTGCTATGGAAATTCACTAGGTGACTTTTTGCCCAAGAGGCTACCCCTACTCATTTTACCTTGCAGGGTGGATATAGGGAGAAATTGAAGAAATGGATGCTCTGTGTTCCATTCTGAGCATCTGGACAAATGGTGGGATATATATGTATCAAAAGAACCACCACCACATTCTTAACCATCAGCTATACTTTACAAATTATATTGGTTCGGTTCACATGTCTGCTAAGCAAGGAACCCATAGTTTGCTTGCATGAAACTAGCTAGTGTGCATATTATGGGGAAAACCTCTTCCTGATCGCTGAGTGATTTGAGAAGCCCTTTTCTAGGCAGTTGTCTCCTGCTAACAAGATTTCCCCCCTTTCTGAGAATCTGTTTGCTCAGAGCTCCAAGCAAATCCGTTTGTTTGCTGTTTCTCCATTCTGCTTGCATCTCTGATGGGATTTGGCTGGCTTCCAGCAGACCCATGGCTCCTCTCTGGCGGCCAAGCACAGACCCATAGGCGCCAGCC